CCAAAAGACGCAATAATTTACTATCCTGAATGCTAGCATCAACCATACCGATGGAAAGAAAAATAGTTCTTTATGATGATTAAATGATAGCAGTTTTATCCTTTGAGCCTTAAAATTTATAGGCCATTTGTTGCCCCAGTTAACAACTTCGACCAGTGAAGCTGCCAGTTTTACTTTGTAGGATATATCGGATTTACTATTAAGACATGAGTAAATAGTTATGTCATCAGCATTTATACCTAGTTGGAAATAATAATATGAATCTATTTTCGGGTTATGTGATGAAATTAGTTTAGCTTTGAAAAAATATTGCGTCATCCGTGACTGCATCAGATTTTTATCACGCCCAGACACTATTGTCACGACTGTCGATTATTTGTCCTACGGCCATTGTCTGCGACGGACGTTACTACAATGAAGCGTACGAAAATTGTAACGATACACGAGCACACCGACAAGTATTATAGATTGGCCCGGAAATTTGACTGATTTAAATCCAATCGAGAATTTGTGGTTAAACTGCAAGGAACGTCTTCGAGGAATGGATATATGAAGTACGAACATTTGCGCTGGGTCATGTTTCATTGAAAAAATACGAAAGAAAATTTAATAATAATGGAATTAATCGTTTTGTTTCAATAAATTTGCACAAGGGTGTAACTTAAGACTTTTACTACAGAGCGAAAAAGCAAGAGAAATAAAATGAAATAAAAACTAGAAGAATAAATAATTGCCATTGCTTCATATAAGAAATTAAGACGTTTTTTTTTTCAATAGTATTTTTCTGATGTTATTTTTTCATGCTTTTATACTAGAAATACTACAGCGTGTAAAAGCCAGAAAAAATAATACGAATGAAATACTAGTGAGAAATAACTGACGATACTTAATTTGAGAATATCAAATAATTAAAATTATTTCTTCTACGTGTCAAAACAGCATTAGATGAAGATGAAATAATTACTATCAGGGGTCAAGAATTAATGCAGAAATTGCTGATATGTGCACTTATATGTGCAATGTTAATGCATCCGAAATGATTAAACATCTCTTTTGACAGAGCCTTCTTCCAGAGAAACAATATGACTTTCATTTCTCTAGGTCAACCGCCGATATGTTAATGGTCATTACTGAAATGTTTATCAAGGTTTACATAAGAACGGCGCGGTTCGGGAGATGGCTTTAGATATCTCGAAGAGAGGGTTTGGCAATTTTTATGGTGTATCTGGCCGAATATTTGACGCAACCCAATAGTTCTTACCAAACCGTTTAATGAAAATTCTGTTGAATGCCACGTTTCTTTATCCTTTTACATTAATGTCGAGTATTCTACAGAGCTTTGTCTTGGGACCTACTTTTTTCCTTCTCCACACCTTTATCCGCTGTGCCATGGCACGATGGATAGAGGCGTTGGTTAGATCCAGTGACAGGACCCAAAGAGTGTGAGTACAATACCTGGTTAAGGCGGTGGAGAACTTGGAGAGGGGAATTAACAAGAGATAACTGATGAAATCCCTTAGACATGGGACGTGGAACTAGAACAGTCTAGTCTAGTGAGCGAAATAAAGGGTTCAGTTCAACATTCCAACCACCTGAAGAAGGCCGGAGCGTACAACGGCCGAAACGTTGTGATAAATATAGCAACAAAGATGAGGACAATATTCCGAATAATGTAAATATTGTACACAATACCTTATCTCAGAAATTTATATTTATCTGTATCTCAGTCATTTAAACCGTTATTTAACTTCTCTCTTTATAACTTCTCTCTTTTAAATTTACAGGACCCAAAGTTGGTTGGAGATAACTGATAACTGACACCCATTAGACATGGCACGTGGAACTAGAACAGTCTACCCCAGTGAGCGAAATAAAGGGTTCAATTTGACATTCCAACCACCTGCAGAAGGCCGGACCGTACAACGGCCGAAACGTTGTAATAAATATGGCGATAAAGAGGGGGACAATAGACCGAATAATGTACATCTTATTTGCATTATTTACATTATTCGGACAGTTATCTTCATCTTCATTGTCATATTCACAACGTTTCAGCCGTTGTACGCTCCGGCCTTCTCCATGTGACTGGAATTTCGAACTGAACCCATTATTTCACCGATCGGTGTAGATTGTTCTAGTTCCACGTGCCGTGCCTCTTCCGGAATGCCTCAGTTATTTCCCTTTAACTCATCTCTCCATGTTTAGGTTCACCACTGCTGTGGCCTGGTATTGAACTCACCACTCTTTGGGTCTAGTCACTGGATCTAACCAACGTCTTTATCCACTGGGTCTTGTGTCGTTCAGGAAATCTGTGTATGAATTTTTGTGACTTTGAATCCTAATGTCTCAGTTTCATTTCAAATTGCAATTTATTATTATTATTATTTTTTACTAGTCATTAATCTTCTTTCTCTGACTTTTATACCAATTACTAATAATCTGAAGAAGACTGAATTTCTTAAATGAAACATTATTGATACTAATCCTTAACTATATCAACATTCATAATTTTTTTATTTTTATAGTAATTGTTATCTAACTTTTCTTTCTACGGTCATTAAGTAAACAATGAAACCGAAATAACGTAGTAGCTTCTTATCATAATAAGCATTCGCATTCTCTATCCTTGGGAAATGGCCCAAGACGGAATCATATTCTTTATTTTACCATTTTTAACAGAGATGACATCTTTAAATAATCGAGTGTAACTAATATTCAGATATAGAGGGTGCGATGGGTAAATTATCGCCATTTTATAATTTTTAATTTCCCGTTGCTTGCATTTGATTTTGTTGATGACACTGTATAGTAAGGTCAGTTGGACACTGTCTATGAGAAAAAGAACACCATGACACAATTCACTCGGCCAGAAATTTGGAAACGGCATGCTCTACTGCTTGGCATTCACACCGGAAGCTAAATTAGGAACATTTCACAGTGCTTCGACGTCAATCTGAGGACGGTGCTATGCCTCCATTCATCTTCCTACAGGGCTTCACACTAAACCCGGAGTTCTACATCAAGTACCTTGAGAGGGGTACTCTTGTCCTGTGTCTTGAATAAGTTGGAAAATGATGCTGGAATGATATATATATATATATATATATATATATATATATATATATATATATATTATGGTCCGGTTCCTTGTACCACGGTGATAGTCCAAGGTAGAACCAATAAAGTAGAACTCGAACATGGATATGGAATAACAGGGATATATTACAAATATAGGATATATACAGAGAAGTAGAAAGTGTTAGTATGAACAATCAGGTTTAGTAGTAATTGTCTGAACGCGACTCTGTTTCGGACTGCCTCTGACTCGCTCTGACTGACAGACTCCTGACGGACTTCACTCCAGACTTCAGACTAAACTCTCTGCTTCCTCTTGAGGCGCAGTATTTAGTACGTATGAATAGTCCATTATGTTATTATGGGTAAGGTCCCATAACACACACACACACACACACACACACACACACATATATATATGTGTGTGTGTGTGTATATATATATATATATATATATATATATATATATATATATATATATATATATATAAAGAAATATAGTCTTAAGGTGTTTATATTTATGGGATAAAGTGCTCAATATCGGAGATAGAGCGTGTGTAAATATATAAGTGACCATTGAAATCAACACTTAAAGGCGGCAGTTATATATTTGAAATTTATTTCAATCCTTCCTGAGCTTCTGATTCTTATCTATGATTAATTAATGATGAACATGTCATTTTTGTTTATGATCGATTTCATCTCGATTCTGATGTTAAGCTTGGACAGTAATTATGCAGTCTTATTGCTCAATGTAGAGTGCAACAGTGTTATAAAAACCTCGAAGAATTCCAGTAAGATATCTTTAATCATTTCTAAGACACAATGGTTCAAAGCTTAATCTAACAACTGGAAAACTTTGCTGTTACACGATTTGGACAATTTTGTTGTTACACGATTTGGACAATTTTGATGTTACACGATTTGGACAATTTTGTTGTTACACGATTTGGACAATTTTGTTGTTACCCGATTTGGACAATTTTGCTGTTACACGATTTGGACAATTTAGTTGTTACACCCGGTATGTGTTATCTATTTCAGTTATTTTGTTATTTTGTAAAGGTCATTGCGAATATGTAGCGCCAGTTTACGATTTCGGCTGAAGGACAATCCATTTCAATACCCAAAATGTTCATTCATTTGAAGCTATTGTTAAGAAAAGGTATATAGCTGATCGTTTAGGCATTTCCGAACGAATTGGACGTCATGCGTGATGCCCTTATGTAAGTCTAGATCTGAAGAGGCTATCTAAGGACATGATTCGAGTTCATTGTGTTGTGGTGTTGAATAAAATTACCCCTAGCGCAGACTATCCTGTGTTCAATCTTCCTATAATTATATCTCGTGTTATATTTTATTGTTTTCTTTTTTTATGTTTGCATATCGTGTCCACAGAGAGTGCTCGATCAGCCATCAAATCAAATAAATCATGGGGTAATTATTCGCAAAGCGAAAATTGTACGGAACACCTTCTACGGTTACTGAGTTTAAAACTAAATAATAAAGTTTTATGACACGCAAGCAGAGGCATTCATTTAGCTGTCCTGTGTTGATAGGATTACCCCTAGGATTATCGTATATATGTATATATGTAATATATATATATATATATATATATATATATATATATATATATATATATATATATATATATATATACATACATTTGTTACATACATATATATATATATATATATATATATCCGTATTATAATTTATATTTATTTGTCTACTTTTGTTTTACACGTTCTTATTTGATTTTTGACATAGGAATATCTCTCTTTCTATTTGTCTATTTCCAATCTATTTATCTCTTCTCCTTCATATCTATCTATCTTATCTATATATATATATATATATATATATATATATATATATATATATCATATCACTTCTTCATATCAATCTATCTGTCCATGTCAGTCTGTTCATATCTATCTATATATCTATCAATATATATATCTGTCAGTTTGTTCATATCTATTTATCTATATATCTATCTCAGTCTCTTCATTATCTATCTTTCTATCTCATTATCTATCTATCTATCTATCTATCTATCTATCTATCTATCTATCTATCTATGTTAGTCTGTTCATATCTATCTATCTATCTATCTATCTATCTATCTATCTTTTCACCTGCGTAGCCAAATACAAATCCCCATTGTCCAGAAATAAGCTAAGTTGCTTTTGCAAGTGTGGGATGTTGGCGTTCGAGTCAGTCGTAATGAAAGTTGCGAAAACTTTTCCGGTGTACCTTTCACCCCACCCTCGACAACACCCCCACACGTCTTCCGCCTTGTATATTTGAACGCTCGTGCCGATTTTCGGCCAGGGCCGGGACCCTGACCCGTAATTGGTTGTGACAGTAAAGATTTTCATAGCACAGCGTTCGTTTTAAGATTCAGCGCAGGTAATCGTTGGTGTGGGGGCCAGGCTGAATAGAGGGGCTCGCCGTGATGGATTGAAAAACACCAAGTCTTGCATGCAATGAGGATCGTCTTTTGTGGGTGGGAGATCGGGCGGGTTTTGTGGCTCGCAGAGGCGTGGGGTTCCGAACGCGGACAGGCCGGGTCATTTGTTGATAGTAATAACAGTCCGGTGTAAGGAAAAATGTGTGTTCATCTATCTTGCTATCTTTCATAGGGACGTGCGTTCGAGAGTCAACAACAAATATGGGTTTATTTGGCGATGTATGTATTTAAGAACGTTCAGGTTTATGTGTGTGGATTTCATTTATGTGAGATTTTCTTTATGGACAAATAGAATGCTTATTTTGTTTCGAATATATCAATTTGGACTAAAGAGAATACGTTAATAAAACGTTAAACAAACAGCCTGAAATATTTTATTCAATATCACGTCCCTTCAGAATTTAGGCGATCATGGCTCTACACAGCTTCCTTTTCTTTTATTATACATATATTATCATGCCTTCTTGGAGAAAATAGCAGTGGTTTCCCGTTGCTTTCCAAATGGTTTCGATGCCAGAGTTTTCCTTATTCTAACGCAACTGAAGTAAAGTGCTAATTTAGCGTCGAACGCTTATACAGTAGATTCCCTCATATCCGGAATCTCTCATATCAGGAATCCCGCATATCCGGAGTGCCTCATATCAGGAATCCCTCATATCCGGACATAATTTTGATGTGTATATTTGAACTATTTGGGTGATATGTAACTGATTTGAAATTTCTGTTTTTCGGTAAATTTAATTTGGATAATTGCTTATGCGTATTTCACCCTAATGGCTTGTATTGGTGTAAAAGACGATATGAATAAGAGGAAATGAACAACTTTCAAGTTATCACAAAAAGTGGAAATTTTAAACAGATTAGACGCTAGTGAAAGTTCCTTGTAACTAATGGCTGAGATCCTCATAGGAATGTCAACATTTTATGATATAAAATCTTCCAAAGAAACTATTCTCCAGCATTCACACCGTCACAATGAACAAGGAAATAAAAAACTTGACTGTGATGAAACCTGAACTGAAATTGAAAAAACTATTTAAAAGGTTGTCAGTTTTATGGAAAGAAAGCCAGCATTCAGCTATGACGATTGTAATAACACACGCAGAGTTAAAAAAAAAAGTGTCGTTCGTTTAAAAAATTTCAAGAACAAAAGCAAAACAAAATGCGGAAAAAGTTGAGAACGACATTAGAAGAAACAGAATCATCATGGAACAGCGATTAAAAAAATCCTCGTTACATTATTTGTTTTATATACGCGGCAAACTTAATTTAACGAAGATTCATTAACATTACATCATTTATTTCTTTTTCTTTAAAATCAATTCCGTTATATCTCACTCACCATTAGCTTATTTTGTTTACTATAAAACACTGAAAATAAATGTTAAACCTGATTTCAGTTCTTTTATTTAATCGAAATATAACACCTCATATCCGGACTTTGTAACTAATTCCTCATATCCGGAAGTCATTCTTAGTCCGGTTGTCAGGGATTCTACTGTATTTTCAAATATTTCTATCCACGGTAATTCTTTTTATATCGTGCGGAATGTTTATTTGAACGGACACGCTAGTTTGATCAGTTGAGAAATGTCATACCGGCATGACTATACCAGACGGCACGTATATTTGGTACAAAAGAGCACACTGAACCAAAAAATTTTACAAATGTCGCACGACTTTATCTGATCATCACAGTCTTAATATCTCGAAAGCAATCGTTAGCTATCCTTCTCATAATCTGCACTTCCTACTACTTGTCTTTCATTCATATCAAACACATCATTTATCATTACTCTTTACAGCAGTAACAATATATACAGTTTGCAGAGCATTGTAGTCTGTGAATTCTAGTATAAAATTGCCTAGACGCATGAGATAAAAACAAAAGTGTTAATCGTTCTGAAACTAAATGAAACCGGCCTCAAATGGCGCACCTGGGTGCACGGGTGCACGGGTGCACGGGTTCACTGGTGCACGGGTACACTGGTGCGCCCTGGAAGATGTCTAGGTACACCTTGGCATTCCAGAGAAATATGTGTCCAGATATAAGAAATAAATATATTTCCTTCATTATACTAAGAGCTACAAAGGACAGGAAATTGTGGAGAGCCATGATCACCAATGACCTGAAGCGAGATGGCACGTAGAAGAAGATATCTTAAGTCTTTCTTTTTCTATGTGCCATGTTCCTTGTATCTCTTGTAAGTTTCAGCAAACAGACAAAATTTGTTAAGAGCTAAAAAGGACAGGAAATTGTGGAGAGCCATGAACGCCAACATCCTGAAAGGACACAGCACATAGATTTTGTCCATTACTCAGGTTGTTTAATTTTTGCACAAGAATTCATCTTCATGTTACTGGAATATTTAATTTCTGGGTCAAATAAATTGGAAAAAAAACATTTCAAAGTAACTGAATTGGTAGAATTCTTGAATGTGCTACCATATTGAAAGAGACGAGGTTACCGTTGGTCACCAATATGTAGTGGGGGAGGAATGACTATTCATTAAGGCTGAGGTAGGAAACTTTCAAAGTTAATGAATTCAAAATTTTCAAGAGGAACTAATTCGAAGCATAGAGAAATTTTACACATAAATAACAACACAGCTCACAAAAGGAGACAAAATTATATTTACATGTCTAGAAAACTAAAAGAAAAAATGTACTTGTGTGTGTGTGTGTGTGTGTGTGTGTGTGTGTGCACATGATGTGTGCCATGTGTTTAAGTTGAAATTTTGGTAATCAGATGTTGGGAGATGAAGTATTCTCAGAGGAGAGGTGGGGAGACCGGACATGTCCTCTACCTGCTGTATCCAGTTTAGAGAAGAGGGAGAGAGTCCTTTCTTTTTATACTGCTGATTGCTATGTCATCAAACAAGCATCTTGGTAGACAAGATGAGGTAACCCTCATTGTAGAAAAGACCATACTTAGAAACTCTTTCTGTTTAATTTTACTTTTTCTTTTTTCTTTTTTTGGTGGGGGTTACTTAACCCACCCTAACATTTGCCAAAGATTTACTCAAATATGGGTATAGTGGCTTATTAAAACATTATATAAAATTGCAATAATTACTGATGGATTAGCTATAGATTTTCTTAATCCCTTTAGTTTTATCCTGTAATCCAGTAGTTCCCAAATGATACACCTGGGTGCACTGGTGCACCCTGGAAGATGTCTAGGTGCACCCTGGCATTCAGAGCAACCTCGGTTCTCGAACGTCTCACATGTCGAACAAATCAGTTTTCGAACAGAAAATTCAAGATGAAAATGCCTCGCTTATCGAACAAAAATTTCGGTTCTCGAACAACATTGCCGAACCGAATTAACCCGAAATGAATAATTTCTGAGTCGACCGCCATGTTGTATGCATTCGTGTGTTGTGCTGTGTTTTTTCTTCCAATTTTATTATACTGTGACTTTTTTCTCTACATTGATTCCTATTGGAAATATAGTTTCGGTTTACGAACATTTCAGGTTATGAACGCCCTTCAGGAACGAATTAAATTCGTGAACCGAGGTTCCACTGTATAAGAAATAAAAATATTTACTTTATTATACTGCAGTACCCGTCTCGTTGCGTATAGTCCTCGATGAAAGCTTCAGTGATAGAATACTTTTGGTTTGTTCTATTGAAATAGCAGGAGTTGCTGTTCGGTCCTTTGTGCCTTGTTCGAGAAAGTTAATTACTAAAAGATGTATTATGTAACATAAAATGATGACAAAGATTAGAATTGTTTATTTAAAAGTTGACTTATTTATACTTTCATAGTAATTTATCATTTATAATTTATTACTTATTTGTCTATAAGCAATTTTTTTTTTAAGCATTACGCCCCGAGCAAGGCGTGAAGCCACTAGGATGCAGGGGGTTGCAGAAGATCTGGAGCAAGAGCAGATAGGAGTGATAGAAGAAAGGATGAGGAGAGGGATAGTGGGTAGATCAAGGTAATTGGAGATGTCGATTGACATTACATTTGAATAGTTGGAGATTATAGCTCTCAGGGAAACAGTAATAGGGAAGGGTGTTCCACAGGCGAGAGGGAGTAGAAGAGGTATGAAGCTATTGGAGTAGAAGAGACGGCTACATTTAAAAAAGTTTCTACAGTGAAAGGGGTGAAAGCGGGATGCCAGCCTCGTAAGGCGCTTGAATTCATGGAGTCTGGGAATCAGTGAAAGCAGCTCATCGGAGCAATTAACATGGAAATATTTGTAAAAAAGACAGGGAGAGGTGTGAGAAAGTAGTTACTTTATCATAAACACGTCAGTAGGTGTTGTGGATTGTTTATTATATAATATTTTATATACAAGGAACAATATTGGGGGAAAATGTATAACAAAATGCAAAGAAAGTTTTGGTATGACGCGTTTCGTCTTTTCCGACTTCATCGGACTAAACGAGGGATGCTGGGAATTTTAAATTTATATTATGTTTATTTTTTCATCTATCTAATTTTATTTAGAGTCTTTTTCTTTTGTTTTTCTTTTCATCTCTATTGTTATTAGGTATCCCACACTTTGTTAATAGACGTTCTTTCAGGAATAGTGAAATTTTGAAAAATAAAGGAATCATATTTTCTGTGGATGACATTACGACTTGAGCCCTAGTTATTATAACATTTCATTATTCCTGGCAGGACTTCTATTATTACAGTGTGTGGCATGAAAAAATAAATGTGATAAAAAGAGAAATAACCGAAATGAAATCGGCCAAATAGAAATAAATGAATAAATACGGTTCGTTTACGAAACACTGGAACAGCTTAATAAACATTAATCAGCTAAATGATAAATTTTATTAATCATCTTCTCTCTCTCTCTCTCTCTCTGCAGCAT